CTGCCTCCACTTGCCAACTGCCTGCTAGGTTCAGTCATTGAAAGAGCTTCTGGCCATAGGCAAGTTGCATGAGTAGGTTTTCAGTGACATACAAGGTAGGCATGAATGGTACTCACCAGATTCATACAGATTCAAACTCAGTGCTATTGGTGGGTCTGAGGTCACTTAGCAAAAGTCTCAGGGTACACCAAAATCGGGTGCCCACAGACTTTTGTGGTAGGTTGGAGTTTCAGGGAATTATCAGGATGAGGCCAGCTAATTAAGATTTGACAGTGTGAATGGAGTGCTCTGCACAAGAACAATAGTGATAGCCCTCCTGGGTAGAGTAATATTGGTTGTAAGCCTTAATTTTTACCACTATGAATATTTTGTGCCAGTTCTTTCTGGTCCACAAAGTTTCTGTTGAGAAATAACCTTAAAGTCTTATGGGAACACTCTTGTATTAACTCTACTGCTTGTCTCTTGCTATATTAAGATTCTGTCCTTGTCTATGATCTTTGGAATTTTAATTATGATGAATATTGTGTGGACCTCTTTGGGTTTATTTTGTTTGGGGCTTTCCACACTTCCCTAGTCTTATATTTCTGTGTCCTTCACCTTGTTAAGGAAGTTTTCAACCATATTTCTTCTATTAGAATTTTAATCCCTTGTTCTCTTCTCCTTCTGGTACCCCTGTGATGTTATGCTTGAGGTTGTCCCCAAATTCCCTATCCTCGTCAAATTTTTTAAATATTATTTTTTCCTTTTGCTGTTTTAAGTGTTTTCCACTACTTTGTCTTCCAAATATATGATTCAGTCCTCTTCTTTGTCTAATTTGTGGTTGATTCTAATCTATTCTTAATATAATATTACTTGTTGTATTCTTCATTTAGATTGGTTCTTTTTTATGTTTTTGTTTGCTTTGTTGAAATTCTCACTGAATTCATCTACTCTTCCCTTAAGTTCATTGAGCTTCCTACTAACTAGTGTTGTGAACTTTGTGTCTGGTAGATTGGTTATCTCCATTTCATTTAGTTCCTTTTCTAGAGTTTTGTTCTATACTTTCATTGGGACATGTTTCTTTGTCTCCCCATTTTCCTGCCTTCCTGAGTTTGTTTCCATGTACTAGGTAGAGCTGCTACATCTCCCTGTTTTGGCAGAGTGACCTTATGTATGTAGTAGGTGTCCTGTGAGGCCCAGTGGCAAAATTTCCCTGTGCACCTGAGCTAGGTGCTCCAAGAGTATCCCTTGTGTGATCTCCTGTTGTAGTTGAACTTTGATTCCCTTTGGCATATCTTCTGTATTGACCCTCAGGTTGACTGGCTGGGAAGTGTCAGCCATGACTACATTGGACAAGCTATTGTATAGGAGCTGACCCCACAGATTAGGAGTTGTTTTATAAGGGCTCTAGTGCCAGCTGAATCTATCCTTTGAGTGTGTTTGTGGAGCTGGTGGAGGGGTGCTCTTCTGTGTTCTGAAGTAGCCACGAGGTATATTGCTCTGGAGTCTCTTGGGAGGGGCTCTAGTTCAGGCCTACTTTAGCCCCATTTGTGGCCAGTTTAGGGCCACCTGGTGGGAGCTACAAAGTTATCTGCAGTTGATTGCTTCTTGTACTGGGCTTGGAGGCACTTGGGAATGGCTATGCTGTGAACCAAGGCCAGCTGACACTATTGTTTTAATTGGGATCCTTTGGTAGATACCACAATATGAGCTGAGTTCAGCTGCCACTTACTTGAAGTTATGTTCTAACGCCTGCCTTGGCCATAGCTTATGCCAGGGTTGGGGCTGCTTAGGAAGAGGTACAGGGGACACTGAGGCCAGCCGCTTCTTGTTTGGGGTTTGTGAATCTTTGAGAGATTTAAAAAAAGTCTTTAGTGTGAGCCAAGGTAGGCTGCTCCTATGGAAAATCTGCTGGAAGCCACTCAGACCAGGTGTGTGAGTTGGGTGAGGTCCCAGGGAATCACCAGGGTGAGGCAAACAGTTTTATCCAGATTACTGAAGAGCTCAGATTTGGTGCCTACCTATACCTGTTGGCTGGATTGGGAAAGATCTCAAAGGAACAGTGAGGCCTGCCAGCATTTCTATTTCCGTAACTTCAAAACCTGCCTCTAGTCCTTGCTCTGAAGCTAGTCAGTTCAGTTCCTCCTGTATGTCGGTTGCTTTTTGCAATGCTGCCACTGCACTGAAGCCCAGAGTAAGTGAGTTTATGAACAAGAGAGTCAGTACTCTGGCTCTTTTAGGAGGATGCTTGGGTCTACAGCAACTCTCCATCTTACTGGATCCAATTCCTGCTGCTTTTCACAGACAGATGTTGTGGGAACACCTCTTCCCAGCACTGGTGCCTGGGAGTAGGGAGCCTGGGGCCACTTGCTCCTCAGAGAGGACCTCTGCAACCAATATCCGTCTTTCTTGATTCTTAATTGCCAGGAGTGGATGTGGGATCTGCCTGTTTTGCGTTTCCACCCGTTTTACCAATCTCTTTGTGGCTTCTTCTGAATATTTAGTTATAGGACTTCTATTCAGCTAGTTTTCAGGTGGTTCTTAATGTAGGTTCTGAATTTTGTTTTAATTTTGATGTGGTTGTGGGAGGAGGCAAACACAGCATTTACATTATCTTACTTGACTGGAAACTCTCTGAGATGTCTTCTTTACTATTGGGATAAACTGACCAGTTGACTGGGAATTCTGATTAGATTATTCTCATATCTGTCTATTCACTGAATTGTTCTAAAATGCTTTACATGGAAATACAGTTGCTACTCTCCCCTTCCCCAAAAGTCCTGCTCAAATTTTTATTGATATTGCAATGATTCTGTTAATTCCTGAAGTATTGACATCTTTATGATGTCAAGCTTCTAATCCACAAATACCTACATCTCTTTATTATTTAAGGTCTGTAATTTATTTTTCAGCAAAATTTTATAATTTTCATCATAGAGATCTTGCATATTTCTCATTAGATTCTTCCCAAGATGTTTGATGTTGTTTGATTCGGTTGCAATTGGCATCATGTGAGGCCTTTGAAGGCACACTGAGTATCACCTGTCTGTGTCTAATACTCTGCTCACCGTGGGCATGAGAAGCAATGTAATACTCAGCTTTTCCTTTTCCAGGTAGCCGGTACACTTTGCCTACCCCAGCAAAGTGAAAGGGTATAATAGCTTCACTGCAGGAAATTTCAGAATCCAAACATTGCAGCCAAAAAAGTGTGCTTTCTTCTGACCTACATCTCTCCTGTTGGCATTTCAGCTTATTTCCCTCTAGTTTGCCTCACAGTGTGTCTTCCACAAAGGTTTCATATCTGTCAGTCTGCTATTTGAATCATCATTCAGATAGTTCTGCTACATTCTAAAACTATGTGTAGCTTTTATTAAGAGGGAATTTGCTCATGATACAGTATTAAATTAAAAAACACAGTAAAAATCTAATTTTATTTTTTAAATGTATGGCTTAGATAAAATGGTTAAAATAAAAAAAGTATGAGAGTGGATATCTTTGGGTGCTTAGCTTCTGGACTATTTTGATACATGTCTGCATTTCCAAAATGTTAATATTAAACATGCAATTTCACACACACACACACACACACACACACACACACACACGTGTGTGTGTGTGTGTGTGTGTGTGTGTGTGTATATATATATATATATATATATATATATATATATGTCAGCATCTGTTTTGTTAATTCTTATACACACACACACACTAGTATATATATGTCAGCATTTGTTTTGTTAATCCTTGCCTGAAGATATTTTTTCCATTGAATTTTTAGAGGGGGGACGGGGAGAGAGAAACATCAGTTGGTTGCCTCTAGCATGTGCCCTGACTGAGACAGTGACCTTGTGGAACCTGGTACATGCCCTTGACTGAGATTCAAACCTGGGACCCTTTGATGCACAGGCCGATGCTCTAACCACTTAGCCATGTCAGCCAAGGAGAAAAAAAAAAGATGATCAGCCTTTTTGAATGAAAAAAAAAATTAAACTATGTATTAAAATTACTGGCTTCAGTTTCACTTTCCCCTTCATTGTACAAAGTATATTAAATTTTGCTAGTGAAGTTAAAACAAGTATCTGACATATTCTATCTAATAAAGAGGGAATGTGCTAATTGACCATCATGCCCTCACAAAGATGGTGGTGCCCCAGCCAATAAGAAGGGAATATGCTAATTGGCTGCCACAATCTCAAGATGGCAGCACCCACAGCCACAAGATGGCATCACCCAATCCCCTGAGCCCTGCTGGGGTGGCAGGCATGTGGCATGGCTGGGCCCACCCCCAGTCACCTGCCTCCAGAGTCCCCCAGTCCCCTCAGCCCCCCAGCCACCCAGGGCTTGCCTGAGGCACAGATAAGTCTCAGATGGCAGCTGCCCAGCCGCCCAGGGCCAGCCTAAGTAATGACCAAATGACTGAAAAAGCAGACTGCATGGGTGCCTTGAGGGGTGACCAGACAGGCAGGAGTGGGCAGTTAGGATGACCAGGCTGGCAGAGGGGGGTAGTTGGGGAGACCAGGCCAGCAGGGGAGGGCAGTTAGGGGTGACCAGGAAGACAGGAAGGGGGCAGTTGGGGGCAACCTGGCAGGCAGGCAGGTGAGTGATTAGGAGCCAGCGGTTTCCGATTGGGAGAGGGATGTCTGATTGCTGGTCTAGACTGGCAGTCGGACATTCCCCGGCGTCCCAGATTGGAGAGTGTGCAGGCTGGGCTGAGGGGACCCCTCCCATGTATGAATTTCATGCACCGGGCCTCTAGTCTTAAGATAATCAAGAAAGTGAAACTTGTTTTTCAGATGTGTAGATTTTCCTGCCAGTGCTTCTGACCAGCTGTAAAGTCCACTACTTGCTGAGAATTCTCTCCTCACACTTGGAACTTTGCAACACCTGTTTTATTTCACATTTCCTTGATTCCTGGGGTAAATCCCAGGTCCACAGTGTAGGCTCCAGTTAAATTGCTTAGTGGTCCAGATGTGTGTCCCCCACTGAGCTGGCCTAGTAACCCCACTGTTTATTGACAGGTTCTCAGGAATCGGATAGCTCCCAGTCCGCCAAGAAAGACATGCTGGCTGCCTTGAAGTCCCGGCAGGAAGCGCTGGAGGAAACGCTGCGCCAGCGGCTGGAGGAGCTCAAGAAACTCTGCCTGCGAGAAGCTGTAAGCAGTTACTGTTACTGCCTGGGGAAGTCTGTATTGTCTGAGCCCTTATCTGCCTTCACATATTTATAAAGGGGAGTCGGTCACAAAGAGATCATATGAGGAAAATAAGAGCTCCTCACACACAGACATTGGAAATATCCAACCCGTCTTGTGCTGCATCAGAAACAGAAGTGGTGACGTTAACAGGGCACCAGTGAAAGCTGAGTCTCACCTGGGACCTCACTAGAGACCCGTCATGGTAGCACCTGTAAATAATGTTTGCATGATACCTCTTTATAGTTTATAAAGCATTTTCTCATATGTTATTACCTCCCTGACTGCCACCATTTTCTAAGACTTTGTGTCTGAGTTGACTGTTGTGGCTTTTGTTCCCTTGAGGCTGTGTCAGATATTATATCTTTGGAAATCATGCTGAGAAGCATCACTTTAAAACTCATCTGATGTGACGCTCTTTAAAAAAAAATGAAGTCTTAGCCTAGTGATATCTTTAAGTTTTCTGAATAGCAACATTCCTCAAGCTTCTATATGCATTGGTCTCAGGTTTCATTGAGACTCAGAGGCTGTGAAAGCCATTGTTTTTATTTGAATGTCCACTTCCACCTTCTTTTGTATATTCTGCAATTCTCTGTTAGCATGTCTGATGAATTGAATTTTTAATGCAATACATACACCTTACTGTGCATGCGTGTGTGCATGGACATGTGTGTGTATGTTCTTGCACCTGCACAGGATAGGGCGGAAGCCCTCCAGGGAGCCATTGTAGTTCATATAATATTACAAAGAGCCATACTGGTGAGCAGTTGAGAATCGGAAGTATAAAGAGGCTCCCAGACTGTATTCCCCTCCCCTCAGTAATAGTGTCTCGCCCCAAGCCAAATGAACCAGGGGGCTTAGAATGAGATCACATTACATTTCCACTTGGCTTAATTAGGTACCGGATTGATTTAAACCAGAGCCAACTCAAACCATTCGCTCATTAGCACAAACCACTGCAAATCTTAGGAAAGTATATGCCCTGAGGGAGGGAGGAGAGGAAGGAGGGGTCCCCAGCAAGCATTTTCTTGAGACTCCCAGGGAAAGGTGTGGCTCTAAGACTCCCAGGGAAAGGTGTGGCTCTCTGGTGATGACCAGCATGTCCTCCTCTGGTTTGCAGCAGCCACCGGCATTTGTATAAAGAATATGTTCGAAGAATTTTAAAAGTATGGCTTTGGGTGTCTGCATCTAATAATTTGTTTTTAATAGAGACAATGTCCCTAAACCCAGCAGGGAGTTAGCATCAGAAAATTGGAGAAACGTGTCAGGGCAGGGTTAGCGTATGTTAAAGAAGGTCTCTGTGTCACTTAAAATGAAAAGCAAAATCAAGAAAACAAAGCTTTCGCTTCTTACAATGTTGACAGCACAAAACAGCTTGAGCAGAAGGGATACCCTCTCTGGCACCAGGCAGATTGCTTTGTGACCTCTCCCATTCTGGTCTCCAGATGCTTCTGTAGTCCGGGACAGGGGAGCCTCGGCTCCCTCTGTCTGTGCCACACACCGTGCAGCTCCGCCCCGGATGTCAGGGGGCAGTTTGTCCCCGGGAGAGCTAGTGGGGCCGTCAGAATGGGTGGAGCAGGAGTATTTGGCAGAAATACCAATAGGAGAATTTAAGAGGAACCAAGCCAAGCCCCACAACAGTGTGTGAAATCCCCCTTCCTTCTGTGGCTCTGGCTACATGTGAAATCGGATTAAATGTGGAGAATCGAGGCCTTAAGTCAAAGACTGTCAGGCAGATGGTGGAAAATCAGTAGCCTCGTTTTTTAAAACGTAATATTTTTTTTAAAAAACCCATAGATACTTTGTACTTTACATATTATGAGTTTTTTTTATAAGTTTCAGGTGAAAAAAGAAAGCCCTAACAATATAAAATTCTCAGTGTGCATGTTGTTTATAGACTGACTTTGAGGGAAGCAGATAAACATGTCACAGAATAAACTCATAGGACTTTGGCAACATTTGAACCACAATAAAAAGGAAAGAAACAGAAAGGAAGAATGAGCCTTCCATACTCAGACAGTTTGCCATTGTCCTCTAGAATGCTTACACTGGACTAAAAGGCCAAGGGCTCGTTCTCGGGTGCAGAGCAGGAAGGGGCACTGCTGCGGGTAGCTGGGTGCTGGCAAATATTATGGGTTTATTTTCAGTTCTTATTTATGTACACTTAATGTCTTTTAAGCTCAGCCTGTTCCCTGAGTGTAGGCCTGAGGGGAATAATCATTATAATTAGTTTCTAATTTGCCATATGCATTTTTCTGGGATTTTCCATATAGACACCACTCTTTCTCAGAAAGCCTATGTGGAAGACACTTTAATCTCAGCTATCAGTGAGGGAGGATGGGGTACAGGGGCACAGCACTGGAGCCAGAAAGATCATCGATGTGTGTGGCACACAGTGGGCATGCAGGAATCACTTGGGAAACTAATGAATGAGTTAAATGCAAGCTTTATGATGAAATCTAAAGCAACTTCGTTTATGTGACAGTTACTTTCGGAAGAACTTTTCAAAGTGCATCAGTTCTGCAAAAAAGAGCTGCTCTCATCCATTTTTAGAGAAATGAAATCACATTTCAAAAATTCTTATTAACACTTATTTAGGCATTTTGCTTCGTGTGTGTGTGTGTGTGTGTGTGTGTGTGTGTGTGTCTTGGAAACAAGCACCCGCCCCTGATTTCGCCCCCTGCTATTGCACATTTGCAGGAGCTGACAGGCAAACTGCCTGTTGAATATCCACTGGACCCGGGGGAGGAACCACCCATTGTTCGAAGAAGAATTGGGACCGCCTTTAAGCTGGATGAACAGAAAATCCTGCCCAAGGGAGAGGTGTGTCCTTCTTCCTGGTGTTGGGTTCTCATTTGTCTGTTTGTTGGGTTTCCCCAGGTTTTCTGTCACAGCTGCAGCATTCTGCACAGTGCCAGCTGCCCTTTCCCCTTTCTGCTCAGTTTCCCTTCACCTCTTGTTACATGTGCAGGTTGGTCAGTATGTGGCTTCCATGGTAGAACGAGCTAGTTGCGCATTCCTAAGCTTTTTGCTTTTAGGGCAAGTTGTGTATCTGACAGGAAGGCCTGTCACACGCTGTAAGGTTCATCTTGGGAGAATATTCTAACAATGCCCATTGCGTGTCTTTTTAACGTCCTCCCAACCCTGGTTACTTACTGAGAGCATGCCCACTGGTTAGCGTGCAGGTGAAGTCACCAGAACACGGGGTCCTGGAGCGGGTGAAAGCGGGGGTCAGTCTGCTGAGATCTGCACCAGGAGGCCCCAGGGGGCTGGGCGCTGCACTGAATGCTTCACCCAAACCTGCATCTTCACCTGGCAGTTTCCTGTTCTGTACAATGAAGTGCATTGCAGAGTCCTTATTTCTTTGGTCCAGATCCAGGGTTAAGTGAGCTACTATATTTAGGAAGTTTAACTTGGGACTTCACACCTGCTTGATGAGCAACAAACATGAGTAGCTTGAGGTGGAGAAGGGGACATTACAGGACAGGTGCAGCCTATGGAAGAGGCAGAAATATAACAGGTCAGAACTGGGGCAAGGGTGGGTGGGGTTTAGAAGACCATCTGGTCAAGTATATCTCAAATCTGCTGTCATCAGAATTACCTGAGGAACTTCCCCTCCCCAGTGCTGGGCAGATACCAGGCACTCAACTTTTATGAAGAGCCCCCACCTTAGTGAGTGTTCTCCCATCCCAGCCCCCCTGTCCTTCCCGCAGTCCCATCTTACCACACCTTCTCACCAGCTGCTCAGTGCAAAATATGCCTTTAGTTCCCGGAGATATCCATGTGTATCCCCATCTTCCTAACCTGTCCCTGTATATCTTGGTTCCAAAATCTATCAAAAGAAAGACCTCAGAATTAGTTGGCATGATGCAGAGTTGCTCTCTGAAGAACAAACTCCCTTTTCTCTTGGAAACTCCCACCCTCCCCCACAGCAGGTGCCCATCTGTGCAGAGTGGGCTGCCAGCATGTGCTGGGCTCAGTCTAAGCAGTGAGACTGTCCTGGTGTCCACAAAGCCACGAGGCAGTTTTTGAGCCAGGGCTGTCAGCACAGCTGGCTGGTGGGGTCCCACTCACAGCTCACTCCGACTTTGTCCCTGCTGATTCGTTGCCAGGCTCCAGCACAGAGGGCTCAAAATCTGAGAGACTGAGGGGTGTGGGGAAGGTGGGCACATGGGAGCGCCCATCAGCAGGCCCACAGAGCAGGACAGAAAGGTGCTCTGAAAATAGTGCTGCATCCTGTGCCCATTCAAACCCAGTGGGTCTGAATTTCCATGAAGGCTCGGTCTTCTTGAACTATGTGGAGACCATGGGAATGAAGCCAGGAGGCCCCAGGCCCTCAGCATGGGGACCCCTTGCTTTGCAGTGACGGATCCCCTGTGCAGACCAACCTTGTCTCCAGAGTGAAGCAAGGGCCACAGTCTCCAAAGTGTGTGTGCCCAGGGCACCAGCTGCCAGAGATTTTAGGAGCAGGATCACTGCATTAGGCAGTGGGACTGCTGGGTGCCTCATGCTGTGGCTTCCAGGAGTGAGGAAGGCTGGCTCGCCTTGCGGGGTGGGGGCGAAAGGACAGAAGTGAAACCCTGGCTCTCCCTCCTACAGGAAGCCGAGCTGGAACGCCTGGAACGAGAGTTTGCCATTCAATCCCAGATTACGGAGGCTGCCCGCCGCCTCGCCAGTGACCCCAACGTCAGCAAAAAGCTGAAGAAACAAAGGAAAACCTCCTATCTGAATGCCCTGAAAAAGCTGCAGGAGATTGAGAATGCCATCAACGAGAACCGCATCAAGTCTGGGAAGAAACCCACCCAGAGGGCCTCGCTCATCATTGATGGTCAGTGCTGAGCCCCTCCCCACACCCCACTGCCCTGGGGGCTGGAGCCCGGCCTGAGTGGGCCAGAGCCCAGCTCCCATCATGCACTAAGCAATTTAATTAACCCGTGAGGGCTATTCTGTTAGGAATGCTGATAGAGTCCATTTTGACATCATCTGTACTAACTGGTGACAGGACCCATCCAAGCCTGAAGCATTTCTTTTTCATCTTCACCCGGGGTATGTTTATACAGAGGAGGGGAGAGAGAAACATCGATGTGAGAGCAAACATTGATCAGTTGCCTTGCCTTCCATACACACCCCGACTGGGGATCGAACCAGCAACCTAGGTATATACCCTGACTGGGAATCAAACTTGCAAGCTTTTGGTGTACACAAGGACACTCCAATTCAAGAATGTATCTTCTCTGTTTTGCTCCCTCTTTCAAAATAATGTTTTCATCATCAAGCCCATTTGAATTAGAGAAGATTCTTCTTAGTTCCTTAGCCTGTTTATTTTTAAATTTTATATATGTGTGTGTGTATATATATATATATATATATATATATATATATATATATATATATATAATTTCAGAGTGGAAGGGAGAGGGAGAGAGAGATAGAAACATCAGTGATAAAAGAGAATCATTGATCAGCTGCCTCCTGAATGTCCCACACAAGGGATAAATCCCTCAACCTGAACATGTGTCCTGACCAGGAATCACCATGACCTTCTGATTCATAGGTCCATTCTTAACCAATGAGCCACACTGGCCAAGCAGCATGATTTTTATTTCAAAAGAAAAATACTAAATTTGGTATCCAAAGACCTGTTGCCAGGATAGTTGAGCAATCCCAGACAAACCAACTCCCTAGCTGTGCCTCAGTTTCCCCAGATGTTTAGTGGGGAGGGTACCTTACTGTTTCCCTCTTTGGCATGTTCTCATGGTTAGTTGAATGGGATCTATGAAAATAAGCTTTGTAGAGATAGAAGCTGAATTTAGCAGCTTCCTTCCCCGCCCTGCTCCCCCCCGCCACCACCACTAATGGCTTAAGACATTTATTAAGAAGCCATTTGTTGCCCTGTGAGCAAAGCCAAGTTTCTCACCCTAGTTTCACATTTGTACAATCAAGAGCAGTTCATTTCCTATAGGTCGGTCTGAACATGTCGGTCAGAAATGGGCTTGAGATCATGGTGTGACTTAACCCGGCCAGGCAGCCTATTGGATATAAAGCCACTCAGCATTGCGGTGCCCTGTCTGACAAGAACACAAAGACGGGCACATTGAGTGTTGGGAGTGGGGGTTAGCTCATGAGCCATGGCGCCGGGCTGTCATAGAAATGCCCAGCAGCATTTGGATTGTTTTTCATGGATTCTCTCTGATTAGAAAGAGAAAGATATGCTAAACACATAACTTTTACAGATAGGCCTTTGTCTAAAGATGTGATAAACTCTCAGACTTTTGTTTTTTGTCTTCTCAGATGGAAATATTGGCAGTGAAGACAGTTCCCTCTCCGATGCCCTTGTTCTGGAGGATGGTAGGTGGTTGGGGGCACTGGGAAGGGGCATGGATTAAACTGGGTTAAGCTATGTGTAGCCTGGGACAGGCCAGTGTAATGGGAAGAGCCAGGCCAGGATAGCCCCAGCTTCCCTGCGATTCTCTCACTGCCCAATAGTCACTGAGTTGGTTGGGAGCTGCTGGATGCTACGTAAACCATGTCTATGGGAATTTCAGTGTTTTCTGTGCCTGAGAGGTCAGATTTAAGGTGGTAGTCAGTGAGTTGTACTTTACTTTATTAGTTGCCAAACCACATTTTTATCTAAACAGAATCTCTACACTACACAGTTTCCTTATTTCTGGAGGAAAGAGGCAATCATTGATTTGGATCACAAATCAAAGATTGAAACCTGCTAGGAGAGCCTGGAGGTAGCAGGAAAAACAAGTGACCCCAACCCGGACCCCCAGTCCACACCTGACATAGAATAGAAAGGAAGTCCAACCCAGAACTATCTTCGAGCATGTTCCTATGGATTTAACCCCAAACTTGTGAGGCCAGGACATTAATGAAATGGAAATATATTATGTGGCAGTTAATTTTTTACCCCTTAGGGAAAACGCAGGTGGACAGTGATACGTAGCTATTTAGACTGAAAACATAGAAGGTCTACCCAGGTCAGACTAATGCAGATAATCACAAGAATAATAATAATTGTGCTAATGTGGGGAAAGGCTGGCGGGTTATTTACCCAGTCATCTTGGCCCTGCCATTATCAATCACACTGTAATATTCTTATTGTCACTTGGTTACGTGGGTGGGGAGGAAGTGGGGCTGCAGCTGCGGGAGAGAGCTATGTTTGGAAGATCAGAGATCCAGCCCTGGTTTTGGCCCCTGTGGACTCCAGTCTCTCCAGGAGAGGAAATGAGAGCAATTTCATGAGACTCCTTTGTGACGGAGGAGTTGGGGGCATTATACATTGTTATTGGCTAATTTAGATGCATCATTTATGATTAGCTTCTTCCCCATGTTGCAAACCCCCAGACAACGGGGGGCGGGGGGGGGGGTGCTACTGCTTCCCTAGTGCAGGCTTACCCATCTAGGGGCCCTTCCCTTTACTGATCTAAGAGATGCAGGAGCAGAAGCGTAGCACATGCTCAGGTCTTGGGAACTGAGAAGTAGTCTGTGAAAGGAACACTCTTTGGAGGTGGATTTAGGATCACATGAATTGTTTTTGGGGTTTGAGGTTTCTTCTGGGTATTGTTCCCCTCAAACTCCCACCTCAGCTTCCACAAGGAACACTGAGTTTTTCCTGCCTCTGTGCTCAGTGCTGCCCTCCAGGGGGCTCTCACCACTTGTTATCTTCCTTACCCTCTCTGGACCCTAGCCTTTTGTGAACCCTGCCAGATGACTAAACAGGACTTTCATCCTAATCATCCATGCTTAGTTTTCCTGTGGCTTTCAGACCTAATCCTGACACCTGGATCTGGAATGAAAGGGCCCTGTCAGTAGGGCACCTTGCTTATCTTGACACCCACAGAAGGTCTCTTGCTCTTACACTTGACCAGAGCTCCTCCCTGTCACCCTCTGATCCTCCATACTGGCTGCTGTGCCAGCTGTGTCTGGTCCTGGCTTCTTCCTTTTGTTTTTCCTCTCTGCCAGACCACTGCTGAAATCCCTTCTGAACTACAGCTCTTTGCCTGACTAACTGAATTCACTTCCTTCGAAATTCTTACTGCCATTGATGTTAGAGTGTTACTCCCCTGAGGATAGGGCATAGTCTTCTATCCTATATAATAAGGAGGTAATATGCAAATTGACCATCACTCAAACACATAAGATGGCCACCCCCATGTGGTCAAAGATGGCTACCCACATGTGGACACAAGATGGCCACCACAAGATCTGCAGGGGAGGGTAGTTGTGGGTGATCAGGCCTTCAGGGGAGGGCAGTTGGGAAGGACCAGGCCTGAAAGATAGGGCAGTTGTGGGCAATCAGGCCAGTAGGGGAGGGTAGTTGGGGGGGACCAAGCCAGCAGGGGAGGGCAGTTAGGGGTGACCAGGCCAGCAGGGGAGGGCAGTTAGGGGCAATCAGGCTGGCAGGGTAGTGGTTAGGGGGTGATCAGGCTGGCAGGCAAGCAGTTGGGAACCAGCAGTCCTGGATTTTGAGAGGGAGGTCCAACTGCCCATTTAGGCCCGACCCCACTGGACATCCCCCAAGGGGTCCCAGTGAAGGCTAGGCTGAAGGACACTTCCTCTCCTCCCCCCCATGCATGAATTTTGTGTATCAGGCCTCTAGTTCATTGATAATAGTTGTAGCCCATCTCCTTCCCAAAGAACCTAAGGCAGTTCCAAAATTAAAATATTTTATGGGTACATGTTATTAAAAATTGTGTATACAGTTCGGGAAAAAGCAGAGTCGGTACCTAGAGCCACCAGTGGATCATTACTCTGAACAGATATGCTTTTATTCATTTTTTTTTCTAACAAATGACTTATTGATTACCTACTATGTGTCAATAATCATTGTAGACACTAAGCAGTTAACAGACTAGACAAAACCCTCATGGAGCTGAAATCCCCCAAAGCAAATCAGATAAGTCCTATCTATTGAAATAAAATGTACAACAATGAGGACATTTTGCTGTTTGGTATGAAGCAAGTGTTAACCCATGGGATTTAATGAAATTTGGGTTTACTCCATGTGTAGCTCATCAGAATTGAGCTTCCTCTTCCCATTAAATGCTGCTCACAGTTTAGGTTTGGTTGTTCTGGATTGACTTGTTTGGCAACTGGGGAAGAGTCATGGGCACCTTCAAGAGTGAATGCTGGCCTGGCTCCCAGGTGTTGCTCTTGGGGCAGAGGTGGGTGGGAGCCTGTCTGGAGTCAGTAGAAAGGACGAACCTTGCTCAGTTGCTCTCTCTCCGTCTTTGCGCAGAGGACTCTCAGGTCTCCAGCACACTGTCCCCCTTACAGTCTCCTCACAAGGGACTTCCTCCTCGGCCACCATCATCGCATAACAGGCCCCCTCCTCCCCAGTCCCTGGAGGGACTGAGGCAAATGCACTATCACCGCAACGACTATGACAAGTCACCCTTAAAGCCCAAAATGTGGAGTGAGTCCTCGTTAGATGAGCCGTATGAGAAAGTCAAGAAACGGTCCTCCCACAGTCATTCCAGGTGAGCTGGGTGGGGAGACCTGGTTGACAGCTATTGAAAGCATTGGCGGGCTGTCCTAAATGGCATCCACAAATTACAACATCTAAATCAACCCAATTCCTTCCAGGGGTTGACTTTCAACAGGAAGGATGCCTGTCCAGCTGCAGAATTGTCATTCCAAGAGAAAATGGGGGTTTGGGGTCACAGCCAACGTGTTGGCAGATGGTTTTAATGTTAAATTCCACGGAAATTGATCAGGAAGTCTTGGACAGTACTATTCCAAAATGGCAAGGGAAAGCCTTCTCGTAGGAATCCCGAAGTGGTTCAGAACCCTAAGCCAGTGGTCGGCAAACTGCGGCTCATGAGCCACATGTGGCTCTTTGGCCACTTGAGTGTGGCTCTTCCACAAAATACCACATGCGGGCATGCACAGACAATGTGATGGATACTTTGTGGCCCGTGCGCAGAAGTCAATTTTTCGGCTCTCAAAAGAAATTTCAATCATTGTGCTGTTGATATTTGGCTCTTTTGACTAATGAGTTTGCCGACCACTGTCCTAAGTCATCAGCCAACAGGATTCTAGAGCCAAACACTGTAATCTCAGCTGTGCATTATCAGCTCGTTACTGGGCTGATCTTGGAGAGAGGTTTTGGAGAGGCTGTTTGGTTGATTTCTCTGGTTTTCCCATGTCCCTTCATTATACCATTTAAGCTCCAAGTGGGTGTCCAGTCAAGTACATGTTTGTCTGTTGGAAAACAGAAACTGCAGTTTAGGACAGAGGCTTCACAGACAGTCCTGCTCCCTGTCCCAGTGAAGGCTGACGAGGACCCAGGGGCCAGGAATAAGGATTCTAAGGGAAAGACTCGGAGGTCAAAGGGAGTAAGGGTGGGAATCCTGAGCAAGCCCACCCAACACCAAGGCTGATGTCTGGAGGCTAGTCAGCCCTGAGCACGGGTGCAGCACTGTGGCGGTGACCAGCATGGCTTCCTCTGGTTTGCAGCAGCCACAAGCGTTTCCCCAGCACAGGGAGCTGTGCCGAAGCAGGAGGGGGAAGCAGCTCTCTCCAGAACAGCCCCATCCGCAGCCTCCCTCACTGGAACTCGCAGTCTAGCATGCCGTCCACACCAGACCTGCGTGTACGGAGTCCCCACTACGTTCATTCCACAAGGTGAGTCCACCCGGCCCTCAGCCCACTTCCTTTGTAAAATTGGATATCTCTGGCTCCAACTGGCCCAGATAATGGATGATCTAGAGCCAGGCCTGCACTAGTGAGGTCCTTTCTCCTTAAAATGAAGCAGAATTTAAAGCTGAGCTGGCAGCAGTCTGCCCAGGTTTGCAGAGACCCATCATGTCCCACTGCCCATGCCTAGGGGGACCAGGAGGCAGCTGGAGAATCCCAGGCAGACAGTGCGCATGGAAGGGGCCAAAGCAGAATGCAGGCGGGAAAGACCGGCAGATTAGCAGGGAAGCATGCTGGAGCCATGCCACCTTGTCCTGATGACGTGATCTTTTCTGGAGAGTCCTCCTGTCGCTTTTTACTGGGGCCTAATTTATCCCGGACTTTTTAATACCTCAGAGTATAAATTCATTAAAGAACAAAAGGAATGAGCAAAAGGGAGGCTCCAGTGAACCAGGCCTTCATTTTCTATTATAAAAAGAAGCAAAACCAAAGCCACCATTTCATTTTATCGAAAACTGAGTCTGTAGGGATCATACCTCAAAGGAGAGAAGGTGTGAGCATCCATAAACGGTAAACCATTTTATATCAGGTAGAGCACTCCAGGCAAGATTTTCTCATTCATTTTATTCATGCATTTATTCACTCATGCAGCACATATTTATAAAGTGCCTCCGTGTAGCAGGTATTATTCTAGGGGATAGAGCAGTGAAAAAAGCAGACTATACCCTGGCTCCCATCAGACTTACATTTCAGTTGGGCGTCATAATAAATATTTGTCAAGGGGTGATAGCACTAAAAGGAACAATAAGCCAACCAAGGGACTAGAGAGTGAACTAGAAGCTTGAAGAAGCTCTCTCTCATAAGGTGAACTTTGAACAGAGACCTGAATGGAAAGGGGCTGGGGCGGGAGGGGGGGAGAGAGCAAGCTCTGAGGATACCGGAGAACAGCAGGTTAAAGCCCTGCACACAGGCCTGAACATGGCATGTTCCCAGGAGGCCAGTGTGGCTGGAAGAGAGTGACGAAGTGGTGTGGGACCAGGGAACTTCTCCTTCTCCCCTGGGTGAAAGTCAGAACTGAACTCAAATCTTCCTGTAATTGGCCAACACGTGGCCCTAGCATTGTCTACAATATCGATGGATATTTGTAGGATGGATTCCAATAAGCAAAAAACATTATAAACAAAATGGTGGCATGGTAACTTTTTGCATCAGTCATTTTCCATGTTCCACCAATCTTGCCTTTCAGAGTCTTCATGGAATGGAAAGCTGTTTATGTGTATTTCATAATAGTATTTGGTTGAACCATATGAAATCTCCATAGTTTCTGTTTTGACCTGCCAAAATGGGCATTTCATTTGGCTTAACATAATGACTGGAATAGGTATTTTCTTTGGTTCTCTTTGTATCTATAGAATTCCTTTACACTTAAAAAAAAAAAAAAAAAAAAAAAAAGGAAATAAAAGAAAGCCCTGGCTATTGGCACACTTTTTTCAGAGGGAACCCTCGTGTGGGCGCTGTCTTCAGTCTTACCTCCCACTGGGAATCAAAATCCCAGCAGAGGCCAGGCTTGACTCCAGGGGTAAGCCTTGCTCTCCTGCCTCCTTTCCACCTGAGAACCATGGGAAGCACCTGGATTCCCAGGGCAGCTGCACAGCTCTTTTTCCCAGCAGCTAGAGGCTCTCTCCTGAGGGTTGCAGAGCCCCCAACCCTCCACTGGGCCCACATACCCACCACCTTCGTCTCCCTGCAGGTCCGTGGACCTCAGCCCCACGCGCCTGCACAGCCTCGCCCTGCACTTTCGGCACCGCAGCTCCAGCCTGGAGTCCCAGGGCAAGCTCCTGGGCTCTGAGAATGACACAGGGAGCCCTGACTTCTACACCCCGCGGACTCGTAGCAGCAATGGTTCAGACCCCATGGACGACTGCTCCTCCTGCACCAGCCACTCAAGCTCGGAGCACTACTACCCAGCGCAGATGAACGCCAACTACTCCACCCTGGCAGAGGACTCGCCCTCCAAGGCGCGTGCCAGGCAGCGGCAGAGACAGCGGGCGGCGGGCGCGCTGGGCACAGCGAACTCGGGCAGCATGCCCAACCTGGCCGCTAGGGGGGTCGGCGGCGGGAACCCACCTGGCGTCTACCTGCACAGCCAGAGCCAACCCAGCTCGCAGTACCGCATCAAAGAGTACCCTCTGTACATCGAGGGGGGCGCCACGCCCGTGGTTGTGCGCAGCCTGGAGAGCGACCAGGAGGGCCACTACAGCGTGAAGGCCCAGTTCAAGACCTCCAATTCCTACACCGCGGGCGGCCTGTTCCGGGAGAGCTGGAGGGCCAGTGAGGAGGGCGACGCCGGCCGCCTGACGCCATCGCGCTCGCAGATCCTGGGAACCCCCTCACTGGGCCGCGAGTGCGCCCACGACAAGGGCACGGGGCGCACCGCGGTGTCCGATGAGTTGCGCCAGTGGTACCAGCGCTCCACAGCCTCGCACAAGGAGCACAGCCGCCTGTCGCACACCAGCTCCACCTCCTCTGACAGTGGCTCCCAGTACAGCACCTCCTCCCAGAGCACCTTCCTGGCCCACAGCAGAGTCACCAGGATGCCCCAGATGTGCAAGGCCACGTCAGGTGAGAATGGGGACAGAGTGGGGCTGGCCCTGAAGGAGCAAGCTGTTGACTCTTTTCAAGGGCTTCCAGAATTTCTTAAGAGTCTGCCGTGAGGAATGAGAGATAGTTAATTCCAGAAACCTAGCTGTCAGATGTATGAGAATTGAGGTTTTTCAATCACCCCTTTACCCCTCCCATACTGGGCCTGGTATTGCCAAGAGTGACAGACTTGGGAGGGGGTGGGACAGCACATTCAGATCTTCCCCAGTGGATTGTGCCAGCTCCTACTTCAGCTTCCTCAGTAGGCATGCAAACCATCCCTCCAGACACTTCTGGTGAGACAGAAATCAAAGAAGTGAGGTGTCTCAGGGTATACCTAAGTCACTGGTGAGGTAGAGACCTGGATGGCACCTTGCAGAGAGTGACTCGCTTAAGGCCTTGGCTTGTGGAAGCCTTGAAATTCGGCAGGTGTGTCCCCCCCCGGGGGGTGGGGGGGTGTCAGGGTGGTGGAGCCTGGAGTGCGGCACTTGACTTCACTGTGACCCATGAATGGACTTCCCTGTGACCACATGGATAACTGCTCCTTGCAATCACTTTTCAAAGGTGTTAGGATATAACCACAATCATTTTTGTAAAGAGCTTCCAAAGTTTCATAACTAAATTAAGGGTTACTTTATTTTTGTACTCAGAGCAGGAGGAATTAAGTAACAAAGGGAAGAAACCATGCTTTCCCCTCAGAAATCACACTGTCTGAGAGAATCCTGGCAATAATATCAACACTTGTTCAGTACTGGTGCTGGCAGGGCTCTGGGCCTGGCACAGACTAACTCATTTCCATGCTCATGGCATTCATGAGAGGGGATCTCCTGCAGTTGCGAGATGCTGCCTCATACTTACTATAGGAAAAGGGGGGGGGGGTGTTGACATGTAATTAAAATGATTTTAAAGGTAGAATGAAATGAGAATCAATAGCAAATGGAAGGCACGGCAAGTCTGGACTTGTGCCTAGAAAGAGGTTGAAGATTGGGAGGAAGAGGTGATTCTAAAGACAGAAAATAGGAGGTCATCTTTGGGGAGCTGAAGGAGATTCTGGGGGCCTAGAAAGAGCAGGGCAAAGAGGAAGGACCTGCCGGCTTCCAAGGCATGCCAGGCTACAGGGGTCCTTAGTTCTGAGCCTTGGTTCTGACTCATTTATTATGGTGCATCAGTCAAATGACAAGTTCAGATATAATAATAAAAATAAAGTCTGGGCCTGGCACAGACTAACTCATTTCCATGCTCATGGCATTCATGAGAGGGGATCTCCTGCAGTTGCGAGATGCTGCCTCATACTTACTATAGGAAAAGAGGCGGGGGGGGGGTGTTGACATGTAATTAAAATGATTTTAAAGGTAGAATGAAATGAGAATCAATAGCAAATGGAAGGCACGGCAAGTCTGGACTTGTGCCTAGAAAGAGGTTGAAGATTGGGAGGAAGAGGTGATTCTAAAGACAGAAAATAGGAGGTCATCTTTGGGGAGCTGAAGGAGATTCTGGGGGCCTAGAAAGAGCAGGGCAAAGAGGAAGGACCTGCCGGCTTCCCAGGCATGCCAGGCTACAGGGGTCCTTAGTTCTGAGCCTTGGTTCTGACTCATTTATTATGGTGCATCAGTCAAATGACAAGTTCAGATATAATAATAAAAATGCTTCATGCAATCCTGAGAGAACCCATGGACTTCAAAACCCCAGAACCATCTCTATATTCGTCCACCTGTAAAATAAGCCCAGTGAAGTCTGCCATCAACTTTCCAGATCACTGGGAGAGAGAATGAATGGACATGCTGAGCCTGATACCCTACTGGAAGCAGCAGCGCTCCAAAGAGGGCTGGGAGGGTTTGTGTTCCATCAGAGTGTTAGCACTTGAGAGTAGATGTGCTTTATTTAAAGAGATTAGGCAAAATCTCTTTTGGAACATGTTTTAGATTAAAAATGTTAAGTATATCTGTGGTTTTCTAATGAAAGATTCATTCCAAAAAAGCAGAGGATGCCCTTAAGGAGGCTTTACTTCTTACTAAACTTCCCAACTGGAAAGTTTAGTAAGAACTTGTCATGTCAATAAACTCCTAGTAGTTAGATTTGCATGAGTTATTAATGCCTCTTAAAGTGTCCAAAGGGGTAGATTATAAGCCTGAAGTGGCAGACAGCAAGCTCTGAGAACCTTTCTGGAAGTTCTCTGTTCAAGTTTTGTCACTGGGGCCACATCTACAAATGCCCTGAGGTGTTACTTCTGGTGTCCAAAGAAATAGGCCCTCCTATACTAGCTCTGCCCAGGACTCCCTCAAAGGTCTGTAGGCCGCTGGGTTCTCTGCTACTGTGGAGGCTGCCACCATCCTGTGGCCACTTTCCAGTGGCAAAGTGGGGACCTCAGATCCCAGGTCAACTTGACTGAGGATAGAGGTGCTGAGTGGTGTGGAGGAGATGCATGGGTATAGGGGGTGGATATTTGCCAACAGTGGCCCTGCAAGGGGTCGCATCCAGCATCTCTGGAAAGAAGCTCCTTCACTTGATTGGTGTCTGACGCATCTTTTCTGCACCACCTGCATACAGCTGCCTTACCTCAAAGCCAGAGAAGCTCAACGCCATCCAGTGAAATTGGAGCAACGCCCCCAAGCAGTCCCCACCACATTCTAACCTGGCAGTCTGGGTGAGTTCTGATCAAACCTTTTATCCTTCTCTTCCAGGTTCTAGAATGATCCTTAGCCTTACTCATCAGGAAGAGTGTAATGAATATGAGATTCTTGTAACCGATGGGTTTATCAGGAAAAGAATGGCAAGTGTTCTTCATTACTAGGAACTTTATTCCATTCCAGCGAAGGCCCATGAACTGCTGTTCCTTCTACCCCTCTCCTTTCCATTGCTGTCCTTTAGATGGGGAATTCTCTCTACTTCCTTATAAAGCTGGCCCATGGCCCCGGGAATGTGGGAAAGTGGGTGTCACAAGTCCAACTGCACTGCTTTGGTCAGAATTCCAGACAGATTGTGACTTAAGTTCCAGTTATACCAGGACAACTTCAGAATGCCAGGCACAGAAGAGGAAGGGGAGAAACAGACTGGTATGAGCATCCTGGGGTGCCTCCGGTTCCACATTTTACCTGCTCCTCAGGGTGCTCACTGTCTTGGTGTCAGGATGCATCTTAATAAAAAGATAGGAGGCTTAGATCCCATCTCTGTCCTGGCCAACCTCTTAATCAACACACAAAGGAGATCAGGTATTTTGAGACCTTTAAGAAATGGCCCACAGTAAAATAACCCAAATTCAACTCCCCTTATAGCTTTCAGCATAAACAAACATCATAATCTCAGGGATATTTAGGATGTTCTGGTCTGCTGCAGAGTCTGAGGGGGTACATGTAGCTTGCTGTGCTCACAATTCCTGCCTCTTCTGTTGTTCCTAAAACATCACCTCTAAATGGATGTTCTATACTATTACTATCTGTTGGTTAAAACAGTAAAGAGTCCCCTTATCTAGCTCTATTCAGTTTCTCATTTCCTAGAGCATCGGTGGGGGGTATCTGGGAAAATATGACAACTGTCTGTGAGTTGAATCATCAAAAAACAACAGGACCAGAATCGGCTCCACTGACCACATTTCTGACTCTCACGTTTGGCAGACATTTTTTGTTTCTGCAAATTTATCTGTAGTAATTTAAAACCGGGCTTTATGGGTCCTTAGTATTTAACAGAAGGTAGGAAAGCTAATATTAAGTGCTTGCTGTATACTCAAAGGTTGGAACCTTCTTCTAAAATATATGAGCTCATATAATCTCATTGAAACCTTGCTGGGGTAGTATCATATCTTTTCATTTTATAGATGAGGCTAAGAGAAAATAAGTGCTTTGCCCAAAGTCACAATGATTGGTTGGAGCTGACACTTCAGCCCTGTGCTCTGTGAGCCATAAGCCCTGTCTCTTTCCATTAGGCCAGTGGTCCTTAAAGTGCAATCCCCAGACCAGCAGCATGAACATCACCTGGGATCTTGTTAGAAGTGCGGGTTCTCAGGCCCACCCATGGCCTACTGAGTCAAAAGTCTGGGACTGGTCTGAAGTCTGTGTTTTAACAAATCCTCCCACTCAATTTCTTGTTTCCACTCCCACTTCTTGGTCTGTCTTTGGAGCAGCAACTTCCCCTCTGTCATTATTATAGATCATGAAAACACTCTCTTAGTCACCATCCACACTCCAGCTGTAGCTTGTATGGTCTGGCAGTTGCTAGGCCTAGGGCCCTGGAGTCTCTCCAAGATTAATTCACTTAAAAAATGACAGATCTTCTGTATCTAAGGTACCTCCACTGGTAAACCATCTTACCTAAATAAGGATCCAAGCTCTTTCTCTGGATCCCCAGATTTTCTCCATCATATCCAATTTTACCTGACCCAAATGTATTTATTTAAGACAGCAGCCTCTGGAATTTATAAGCACCCCTCAGATGCATACACAGTGAGCTGGTCTGAAACCCAGCCTGGGTTTCACCGCACAGAGCTAGTGAGGACTCAAGACAAATTTGAAACAAAAAGGTATTTGAAATAAACAAAAAGGTTCTTGAAGTAAACTCTTCCATCAGATTGAGTTGAATTATCATTAATAACTATTTTCTGTGATGTGACAAGAAAATGAGAAATGGGTAAAAAGTGCCAAAGCCTGCCTTCCGACCAAAACTAGATAGGTCTTTTGACTCGCTCATGGGGTTGAAAGTTCTGTGTGACTTATTTGTCACTAACACTGGGCGTGTAGTCAACCAGTCTTTCCAATGTATCAATGAGCTACAAATCATGTCTGTGTCGGTTCCTCTCTTTAACATGACCTCTCTTCTCTTCCTCCTCTGCTTTCCTTTGTTCAGAGAAGCAACAGAACACTCGCCCATTATGGATGGGTCTGAGTCTCCAACTCACCAAAGTACTGATGAGTAGAGGTATCGTAAGGGAATGTTTTGTTCTTACAGCCCTTTCCCCTTGACTGCTTTGGAGTGTGTGATCTCAAATGTGTTGCATATGTGTTGCCCTTGCCCATATCATAATCCCCAGAAGGAAACATCTGCATGGTGTGGAAGCCGTTGTTTTATGTTGATTTCTAGATACATGTGGAACTATATGTTTATATGTATATTTTTATATTAGATGTTAGGTGTTCTTACATGACTTCCCAGAAAAGACCCCAGAATGTGTTTTAGACCTTCCAGACTCTATGTACATGCAGATACTTGTAGACACTTTTACTGATTTAGTAACCCCTGTCCATGGAAATAACAGCATCATGCAATTTAAGTTTCAAAGCACAAAGGGCAGACTTAGTTAGCAGAAGCATTGGAAAAATCTCCCACTCATGCTATCCTCCCAGCATTCTTAAGTGGCAGTGTGTAATCTACAAATGCTGTAGTGCCCTGCTTTCCCCAAATGTGGTCCATAGAACAGCATTACCATCATCTTGGAGCTGGTTAGAAACCTAAACTCCTGGGCCTACAAATTTGAATCTGCATTTTTACAAGATCCTTGGGCAAATCAAATTTACTGCTACAGTGGGCATCAAAACAGTAGCACCTGGTCTGGGTCCTGTTCTCAGGCCAGTAGAACCTAATGGGATGAGACATTGAAATTAAGTAGCATTTCAAGGGTTAACAAAAAAGATAAGAATACTATTACGAAGTGGATAAGTTTATTCAATTAAAAGAAAAAAATGGAACCATCACTATATTCTAGGAACAATGGTAGAGACCAGAGTTTGAAGAGTTCAAGTTCAAATCAACAATCTGAAAACCTATCAGTGTTTTCTATACAAGGGGAGTAAGAAACTTTCAGCAGTTATGTATAAAGTGATCTGAGACTTTAGGCAGAGGCCTAGAAGCTTTTCTAAGGGCAAAAACACAGGTACAGAAACAAGCAGGGTGTCTGGGAAACAGCAAAGAGTCTTGTTTGCTATAGAAAAAGAACTGGACTTGAGCCTGAAGAGTGGGGCAGGACAAGATCCTGAGCAAATTAGGAGATACAGAACAGATTTACTGTGAGTCCCCTGAGTTGGCACATAAGGAATTAGGAAACAGGTGCTTGGCCTTTAAGAGGAAGATGGTGTGAAACAAAATTTGAGTAAATTTAAAAAACTTCATTTACTTGTTCATGAATCAGACAGCATTCAGCGCAGAGGACAGGGGCTGTGTAGAATCTAATGAACAAAATGAACTAACAAGCAAAGTACAAACAAACTCATAGGTAGACAGCAGGCAGCTCTGGTGAGGGAGAAGAGGGGGAGTGTGTGAAGGAATTGAGAAAAAAAAAGGAAGGGAGGGAGGGAAGAAAGAGAAGAAGGAGAAGAAAGAGAAAGAGAGAGAGAGAGAGAGAGAGAGAGAGAGAGAGAGAGAGAGAGAGAGAGAGAGAGAGAGAAAGGAAGGCAGGCAGGAGGGAGGGAGGGAGGGAGGGAGGGAGGGAGGGAGGGAGGGAGGGAGGGAGGGAGGGAGGGAGGGAGGGAGGGAGGGAGGGAAGGGAGGGAGGAAAGAGAAAAAGAAAACTCATGGACAGAGAGGGACAACAGTGTGGTAATGGGAGGTGGAGGTGAAAGAGGGTATGAGGGGACAGATGGTAATGGGGGGAAAGAAGAAAGGAGCTCTGAGGAGCTGTACCAGATGAAAGATTTTCATAAGCAGAAGACAGCAGGAACAAGTCAGCCGCATGAGGCAAAAAGCAGGTTGGGTATTGTAGAGTCACTTTCCTTTGGGGATTGGAGGGGTCTGTCAGGCAAGTTACCTCATTGGTCCTGACAGGCCATTGACAGGTTAAGATTGCACTTACGGGAAAGCCCAGATTGTAGTTAAGTCTCAATTTGGTGGTAAGCAACTCAATTTGGGGCCACTGTCTTATTTTTATTAATCCCACCCCCCTCCGCCTTTGATTGGACTCAGCCTAGTTGAGAGATATGATGAAAATTTAAGGCATTAGCTTCCTGTCTGGAGATCTCTCCATTTTTTGCTCAATCTCTCTGTGGCATTCACTGTTCACAACGTCAGGTTCAAATGCTTTCAGGTGGTCCTTCTCTTTGTTTTATACTGACATTCTGTTCTTAGGGGGATAATTTGCCTGATGGTTAGTGGCTGTGAATATGCATTAAAGCTTTTGAGAGAACACACCAGGGGGGAACTTCTACAATTATTATAAACAGGATAATTCCCAATGTCTGGAGTATCGTTTGGACCCAAGACCCAAACTGATCAAAATCCAGTAAGTCAAGAAAGGCCTGTTGAAGGCGTCACTTTAAGCCAACTGGCTTGTCTCAGCTTCCCCAACCTATCAATCCAGGTGTAGCAAGTGGTGTTGGTCATAGCACAGTCTGTGGGTCAGGACTTTAAAAGGTGTCACCATGCAGGCCAGTAAAATTTAAGGGTCTGTAGACTGTAAAGGTATTTTTTTTGTCCTGAACACCCTTGTCTTGTGTCCCTTTCTTTGGATACAGAGCCTGAATGCAAAGCTCCCCGGGTCTGGAGTTGTTAACCAGAAAGAAAGAAATATATCCTCAGGGCTAGGGACTCTGATATCCTCAGAAGGCTAGATTTCCCCCAGAGAAACTGATGCATTGAAAATCAGGGAAAAGTTTGGGATGGACAGAGCTATAGAATCACCAGCATCGCGGCAATTCCAGCAGTTGTTGGGAGGCTAAATTACCA